TTAATTCCTTCTATTTAAAATTTTTTAGAAAAATTTATTTAAAGGAATTAATATATATATATATATAAAATATATATATATATATATATATATATATATAAAAGACGTTGCTGTTAAAGTTTTAAAAATAGTGAAAATTGTACACTGAAAATAAAATTTGTTTTGAAAAATCGGTTACTTGACTAAATATAACTATGTAATTAATGTAAATATTTACATTAACTAAATAATTTATATTTATATCAAATAAACTATATTTGAATTAATTATTTCCGTATTCGAAAGAAATACTATTTAATTGGCTTTAAAAATAATTATTAGATTCGAAATTTGAATTTATTTAATAAATATTCGCTACTAGACAAATAACGTATGTTATTAAAGGTCAAAAAGATTAAGAAAAAAATTTTAAAATGAAAAAAACTAACAAATTTTGATACTATTTTAATTCAATTATTGTAATTGAAAAATTAAATTACAAAATTAAATTGTTAAAAATACATAAATATCAATTATTCAAAATTAATATTATGTTGATTTGTAAATTTTTTTAAATTAAATTAATTAAAAACACGCTTCGAATCAATCAATTCAATAAAAAATGTTTATAATAATTAAAAAATAAATAAATTGATTATTAAAATTCAAATTAAAATCATCTATATATTTTTAAATTAAATTATAAATAAATAAAATTTGTGACTTTAAAAACTTACATTTAAATAAAAGTTATTCCAATTTTTTAAGGATGAACTGGTTGGAAATGGACCATCAATTATTTTGCTGAAATAAAATTACGTGTTATTAAAATGTTCGACTTTCGTTAATATAATATAATTATTAAACAAACTTACATTTTGTTGAATTTCCAAACAGTTATGGCGACGTTGCAATAGTCTGGTTATGCTTGTTGTCTGTTACTATGGAGTTAAAGGCATAAGCACAATATTTTCCTATAAGGCATAACATCTGAAATGTAACACTACACTAAAGGTACGGTCACAGATCAGCTACGTAAATATGATCGTCATCACTGAACATCAGGGTTGCGTATGGTAGGTAAATAACAGAGTTTTTACGTATATTACGTATGTAAATTACATTAAATTTTTCAAATACAATGCATTTTTTATAGTGGGGGTATAATGCGTATTTTACAATTCTAAAAAACGCATGTAATTTACGTAAAAAACTCTGAGTTATGCGCACGGTCGTATAAATAGGTCTCGAATCTCTGTTGGTGGGGGCATTGGGATTAGCGACCATGGTTTTTTCCAAAACGCTAGTTCTGTAACCTGTTTATACGACCGTGGTTACGCGTAACTGTGCAACTCTGCTGAACATTATAGGATCGTTTCCGATATGGTAGTTTTAGCACATTTTTGATAAAGTGTATACTCGGGAAGTATGCAGTGTCCTTTTTTTCGCACGGAAAAACAAAGACACTGCATACTTCCCGAGTATATACTTTATCAAAAGTGCGACAAATATCCCAATTCGGAAACGGCCCTAAAGAACCCCAATTCTTGGGGGCCTTGGCGTTTTCCAGATTCTCGCCATGAGCGTTCAAGGTCAACGCAGAATAGAAACGTAACCGAAATCGTAACCGCGACCGGAATAATAAGTTACAGAAGGACAAACAATATGTGACGCTTCACGGTGAAAGGGACCTAACGCGACAAAAAATGAATTTTGAGTTTTTTTGGTCAATCAGTAGATTTTGAGTTTCTCTTTCACATGCTGAAGTCAAAAATCGTTTATAAAAACTCGTTTTTGAGTTATAAAACTTTCAACATGAGCATGTTTTGTATCTTTTGCTCACGAAAACCATCACCACTACTAATGCTTGCGGTGTACGGGAGTTGCGCTCGCTTCGTGGATCTTCGACTCTACCTTTCCTTGTCTCTTTTTTCTCTGTCTGAAATCTAACCTCAAATTCCAGTGTCAACAATTCATTCGCAAACTTTTTCTTTTTTCGAATTTAGTAAAAAAAAGTTCAATATTACCCGTGGTTTACAATTTATAACTTACATTTACAATTTTTATGTTGAGTTTTCGTAAAAATTAAACTGAATTCATGATAAAAGTGAGTGTAGTAGAAAGCCGAAGTTACCCGAAGGCCGGAAGCGAGCGAGACACACAGATATACGAGAGCAACGATGTAGTGGTTCAGTCTTTTAACTCGAAAAGGTTCTCAACCTGTTTATGAAAGTGTAGTTTAATTTCATTGATTGAGACGTTGATTGTTCTGTCGTTTTTTAGAACCTTATTTTGTTTACAACTTTGTACAGAGCAAACAACTACATTCATAAAGCCTAAGCAGAATAGCTTCACGAAAGACGTTCGCGAACGAGACATATTAGTTAAAAAAGGACAGAGATATATTCGTATCCTTTTCTATCTCATGCATCTCCTTCGCGAAGAACTTTCGCGAACCTATTGTGTGTTGGCCAATACGCCTCAGGCAGTGCTCAGGCCGTTTCCGAATGGGGATTTTTAGCGCATACTTGATAAAATGTAGGCCGTTTACGAATTGAGATTTTTACGTTTACTTGGGAAGTATACATTTTATCAAAAGTGCGCTAAAATTCCCAATTTGGAAATGGCCTATACTACGGAAGTAAGCAGTGTCCTTGTTTTTTCAGAGCTTTTATAAACAGGTTGAAAACCTTTTCTTGCAGAAATGATTCTTTAGGGCAAAGAAGAATAGAAACGTAAACAGAGTCGTGACCGCAAACGCAACCGAAATAATGAGTTTGAAAAGGACAAACAATATATCTATTGTTTTCTAACTCATTCTTCCGATTGCGTTTGCGATTACGATTTCGGTTACGTTTTTCTTCTGCTCAGGCCTTAAACCAGAACGCAATAAGGACTGAGTAGAATAGAAAGGTAACCGGAATCGCAAACGCAACCGGAAGAATGAGTTAGAGAAGGACAAACAATATGTCTATCCTTCTCTAACTCATTCTACCGGTTACGTTTGCGATCACGACTCCGGTTACGTTTCTATTCTGCTCAGGCCGTTACGTCCCTTACTGTGGTGCGCTATCTGTTGACAACTTTTTTTAATTTTAAAAGTAGGATGTTTATCAATTTTTTTCCAGTTTACACTTACATAAGGCTTCGTTCAAAAATTCCGTATAAATTCATGAAGAATGAGAGGGCAACAAATTTGTAACAACCAGCAAAAAAAGTCGCTAATGTATGTAAAAGAATAAGACATGGGGGAGGGGTTGGTCAAAAAAGGGTAAAAACTTATTTTAAGCCCTCCACAATATTTGACTAATTTTACAAGCGAATGTAAAATACCGCTTATATTATAGGGCAAACGCACAATGGATCCAAGAACATAGTGCGTTATATACAAAAGGACATAAATACATCTGTATTTTTTTCCAACTTATGCATTCTTGTGGTTAATAATACGTTCATCTATTTCGTTCTTATGCTTTAAGCTTTTACGCCGGCGTTACACGCTGTTATGGGACAGCGCCTTTACACATATAACATGACATGACGTCCGTTAAGGTCAAAGTAGAATGAAACCGGATACGGAAACAAGGTATGAGATAAAGAAGGAGAAAAGTAGTCTCTGTCCCTTCTTATCTTATTTTTCAGTATCCCATTCTCGTATCAGTCAGTTCATTCTCCTTTTCCCTTTAAGGCACTTGTACAACTCATTTTGTATTCACTTTAAGGGTACGGTCACACTATCTCATGCTTGCACTGTGAATAAATGCAGAAACATTTGGCCTTCAGTTTGAAGAAATCTAGTAAATGTCTAATAACTATCTAATCATTTTCTAAAAATTTTAGTCGAAACTGGAATGTTATTAAACATTCACTATTGGGATCAGAAATGAAGCGAAACTGACCCACCCCTGAGCCTTCTTGTGACAATTGTCTTGGTTTTTTATTTCTTTCTTTAACATGTGTTAAGAAAGATGGAATGAAAACATGGCCACCACAACAAGGCTCTCACCAGATGGCGTATCGCAGTATTTCAGTGAAGTGTAAACGGCCAAATGTAAAAGTTACTATAAAGTCACTAAATTATCACTAGAGCATCAGGGTGTCTGGTATTAAAACATAACCTCAGCGTAATTTTACAATCCGTGTATTATTGTATAATCTGAGAGATTCTACATTTACATCAACATGTAACTCCACCCTCATAAGATTGGTACGTGGACTTGCACTTGGACTAGACTTTTGCGTCCGACGCTCTTATTGTAGAACCAACTGTACATAAAACCGACGCGTTTTCCAACTTTACAATTTTTAATGCAAATGTTTCTGGGCGGCTTTTAATAATTTCAATTATTTTTAATTAAAAAAATCAGTGTTTTAAAATCATAAACCAAACTTTTTATTTGCGATTGATATCAAAGCTTTAATGGCGTCACTGCGCTTGCAAACCAACATGTCAGTCACGCAATGCAAACATTTACGCCCTAAGCACAACTGAGTCGGTTGCGGTAAATGTAACTTTTGCATACATTTTGAGGTTAGGAGCCCCATATACCGCACCCGACTAGCGCAACCGACTCAGTTGTGCTTAGGGCTTAAGGAACATAATATTATGGTGCGTCTCCAATGGGAACCCTAAGAACAAGCGTTGCGTACACGATGCGTTGGTTCCCATTTAGGCCTTTCTCCAATAGGATCCTAAACTCTTGCGTTGCGTATGCATTGCGTCGGTTGCTATTGGCAACCAATGCTAAAATCAACGCGTCAGTCACGCAACGCAAAAGTTTAGGTTCCTATTGGAGAAAGGCCTTTTGGCTGGTTCCAGAATGGAGCCAAACGCAACGCAGCCCCATTGTGATGCGTCGCGTCTGCGTTACGTTTGGCCCCATTCTGGAACCAGCCTATTGGAGAAAGGCCTACATGTGACTACTCAACACTGATTATAATGGACGCTTCCATTCTCTCTATGTATATATATATATATATATATATATATATATATATAGACAGTGACAGTTGTTGAAATATTTCTTAGAATTGTTTATAAATAATAGAATAATGCATAATAAACGTTTATTTTGTTTGCATTAATGCAAAGTATTGGAATTTAAATTAATTTGATTATTATTTGACAAAAAAAGGATGAAATAAATTGTCATAATGATATGTATGACTTGTGTAAATATAATAATATATGTGAATGTGATGTGTAGAATTTTACTAGCTTCGGACACAGAATTTAAATATAAATTTTATTTAATAAACATAAGTGTTTATTTCATGTTTTGAAATTTGTGGCCTTAGGTCTTTATTAAGAGAATTACGTTATTTTCAATATGTCAAAAATTTTGTTAAATTATTTATTTTCAAAATTTTTTTGTCTATGCATTTCACCATGAACATGGATCTTCAGGACTAGAATTACAAAAACAATTTTTTATGTCATTATAATCAAACACAAAGTCTCATCTATAATTTTAGTACGTACCGCATATAATTTTACCGCATATATTTTTTTGACATATTGAAAATAACGTAATTCTCTTAATAAAGACCTAAGGCCACAAATTTCAAAACATGAAATAAACACTTATGTATATAATTGGTCTACAAAAATAATTGAATTGAATTTATTTAATAAAGTTTTACAATAATCACTTTATAGAATATTTAATTGTCAAATTTAACTCGAGCAGAATTTTTAATCTGTTATCAAATTATATTAAAATCGATGCTTTCAAAAAACTAACCTTAAAATCAGCTATCAGACTACTTGCTGATCTGCTCAAATTACGAAGAATATATAAATTTTATTTTGTTGTCTATTCTACTTAAAATAAATAATTTAAGTTTTTCTAGGTTTTATAATTAAACAGCGACATCCAATAAGCTTTTTTTTCACGTCACATCCGATAATAGAAACGAAGGACTTAACTTAATATTTTTCTATAAAAACTAACAAAGATAGAACCTAAGAACCAGGACGCCAATTTATATAGGAATCATATGGTAAAATACTAGGTTAAAAATAAATAAATTTGAACTCAAGGAGTCTACTACCACTCTCGACATATTTCTAGACATTAATTAATTTTTTTTATATTTCTGACTCAATATTAATACATTTATTCTCTTAAAACTTCAAAAGTTATAATTATCTAATAATAATTCAAAAATGTTAATTGTGTTACCAAAATATTATTTCAAGCAATATTTTATAAGTATTTTAATTTTTTACGTCATGTTCATGGTATACCTTTTTTTTATTTTTAATTGTAATTTAAAATAATTGAGATCTTATAATTTCACACTAGCTTTACTATTAAAAATAAACTGAAATAAGTGTCTAATAGAAGATACATTTTAACATTACAAACAAAAAATATATTTTTTTTAAATGAGAGTTATTTGTACATTTTCCAAAAATCCTAAAGTTACCAGCTTTAAACTAATCTAATCAATTTTAGAAATATTTGTTAAGCTTATTTGTTTATAGTATATAAACTACGTTTTATTAAATTATTTTATGTTGAAAGAGTACTCAAAAAGTGTTTTCAACTAACTTGATATATGACTTGATATTTATTACTTTCGCTTATATCTAGCAAAAATTCGGAACTTTAACTTGTGGACTGAATTGAAATACTGCAGGTCGCTAACCAGTTACATTTATTTTCTAAACTGGCTAAAATATATGCAAAACTATAAAGAAAGTTTTAACTTATTGTTTAAAATAAATTATGTAACTTTAATTACAGTTTTTTACTTTTTTCTTATTATTCTTCTTTAGTAAAAATAAATTTTAAACTTACCTTAAAATTATTACTTATTTCCTATCTACTCCTAATGATTACACAGGCCTGCGAAATTTGAACTTTTTTCAGTTACAAGAACCTGTGGTACTAATTCTCGTAGGTTTTTGCGCGCTGAACACGAATCTGATGTCCAAAATGGCCCATCACGTCAGGATTTTGAGTAATTCAAGGTCAAATGTCCCGAAAATGGCTATTTTGGACACTTTTGGGAATTTTTTCTGGGAGAAAAAATTTTTTTCTTTAATTTTCGAAAGCGCTATCATATAGTGCGTACTCTCAGCTTTAAAACCCATTTTTGAAAATTAATTTACGATTATTTTTAAAGAAGTTATGAACATTTAAATGTATGACCTTGAGTCATTTTTTAAGACTATTAACCCTTAAACGCCCGACTTTTTTGTAGAAATGCGATTTTCGTCATGCTCTGTATTCAAGGGTTTTTGAGGTCGCTGAATACGAATCCGAAGTCGGTTTTTAAAAATTCAAAATGGCGGATCTAATTTCTTCAGTGGTAGAGGAATGAGAGCTTTGAAGCAGAATATGAGCCAATGAAGGTAGTAAGTCGTTTGCGCAGTAGACCAAATTATGTTTCTGCGCATACTTACATGTTTCTGCTAGTTTGGGACACGTTCATACCTTACCCTTATTGGTTGGGAACTCTTCTTACCTGGCCTTCATTGGTTGGGTCCGATGATATTTTTTCAAGATTCGAAATGGCTGATCCAAGATTATGGACAAAAACCAAAATACAGACACAGCCATAAAAATGACTACTAGAAGATTTTTCAATTTAGAAAACTATCATCGGATTTTTACTTAGCGACCCCAAAAACCTTTAAGAGGTCATTTTTATAAATTTACCTCAGTTTTTTAAAGAAGTTGTCCGCCATATTGGATACGCCATTTTGAATTTTTAAAAACTGACTTCGGATTCGTAATCAGCGACCCCAAAAACCCCCGAGTAACGATTTTCAGACGAATTAAATGGTTTTTTAAAAAAGTTGTCCGCCATATTGGATCCGCCATTTTGAATTTTTAAAAACCGACTTCGGATTCGTAATCAGCGACCTCAAAAATCCTTGAATACAGAGCATGACGAAAATCGCATTTCTACAAAAAAGTCGGGCGTTTAAGGGTTAATAGTCTTAAAAAATGACTCAAGGTCATACATTTAAATGTTCATAACTTCTTTAAAAATAATCGTAAATTAATTTTCAAAAATGGGTTTTGAAGCTGAGAGTACGCACTATATGATAGCGCTTTCGAAAATTAAAGAAAAAAATTTTTTCTCCCAGAAAAAATTCCCAAAAGTGTCCAAAATAGCCATTTTTGGGACATTTGACCTTGAATTACTCAAAATCCTGACGTGATGGGCCATTTTGGACATCAGATTCGTGTTCAGCGCGCAAAAACCTACGAGAATTAGTACCACAGGTTCTTGTAACTAAATTTCGCAGACCTGTGTTATTTTAACAGTTTATAACGAAAGCTGACACTTTATTCTAGTTTTATCGTAAAATAATAGGAGACCATTGATAACATTTTAATCCATTTAAACAAATTTAACTTACATTTAGACATTACAGTTAGTTTAAGCCTTTAGTCGGAATTTCAGGGGGACAAATTCTTCAGTTTCATTTTAGGAGTGCTGTACCAAGAGAAAAATTTTTTTTGACTTTTTTCCTTCCATTCAAAAATAAAAATTTTTTTTAACAAAAAAAGCTTCATAGTTTCAAAGAAAATTTCATTGATTCAAAGAAATTTTTTTTGAATAAAAGAAATTTGTTTATTAAATCAAAGAAATTCTAACATTGATATAGGATCAAAGAAACATTTATTTCAATTGAATACAAAATTTCTTTTAAATCAAAGATAATTTGTTTCAAACAAATAAAGTTTCTTTTTATCAAAGAAAAATTTGTCAAAGAAATTGATTTTTTTGAATCAAAGAAATCGTCTTTCTGGGTGTGCATTGCCAAAATGAAGCGCAGCGATCCCGATTTTCGAATAGCTGCTTTCTGTTTTCAATGGAAATGCTACTAACAGAAAAAAAGTGTCGCTGCCATCTCGGCACGCCAGCCCTATCATGAAGATGGCAGATATTACGAAAGCGACACTCTGTTTAGCACAGTAGCGAAACTTGCAGGTAACGCAACGACACTAAATTTCTTTTAGTGTACAAACAATTTATTGTGTCACGTTTGGCAAAGAACCCCTCGCCCTCTCAGTGCGTGACATAATTTTTGAACGTTCAATTACCTAAGAAATTCTTGAAAAAAGTAAATGACAAAGTCATTAATATTTCTGGTTTACTTTTTATGGTAAGATTTATTACATTAAAGTATAAATTACATAATTAAAAAACAAGTCATCTTTATGCAAATGGGAAATATTTTTTTGCATGTGTTTACATTTTTAAATTTTAGGGAGAAATTTTTATTTTTAATGAAAAATTGTCTGGGGAAAAAACGTCTGAGCTATCTGACACAACACTGGTTGAAAATTCATTTACATGATAATCTAAATGACATGTTCACATTTTATGTATATAAACATGTGCAATGTGCATGTTATTAAAATGTTTAACATGTACGGGTTTATGCTTCAGAAATTCTTTGTATAAATGTATTTTTATACATAGTAAGCGAAGATAAATTTTTAACTACAATTACAAGTATGCATAGGACTTTACAACATCCGATTAAAAATATTAAAATTAAATTGCTAAAAATAAATTTTCCACTGTGGCAGAAATCATAATTATACTTTTAAATCCGTTGTTTATCTGCCATTCTTCTTTATTATGGTTTCGTGGCTCAGGGCCGAAAGCCTTATAGTTTCGATTTGGCGTCCGTCGTACACTTGTGTGGTTTCCATCGCAACCGTTTCCATAGCAACCATTACCTCGGGAACCGTTACTATAGCAACCGTATCCATAGCAACCGTTAGCATGGGAGCCATTACCATGGCAACCGTTACCCTAGCAACCATAGTAATTCACAAATAATGTAATTATAAATTATTTCTTATATACAAATAACTTTTGATCAAAATTTAAAAAGCCGCGAAACCCTAGATGTAGGCCCTTTGTGCGTGCTTCTTTTCCTGATTTTTTAGTTATTATAAAACTGAATGGGTTATATTTTTGACAGGGGTGAGTTTTGGAGGTTCAAATCCCCACTGAAACAGTTATGCATAATTACGCATAGTTATGCCTTTGAATATAAGTTTAAGATTTTTAAGCCCTGAGCCTTCACAAAAAAACAATCTATTTCAGATTTATAATTTTTTCATCAACTGTCTTACCACACAGCAAATGTTTCCACATCTTGGATGAAATGTTAAATTTTTGTCAAGGAAACAAGCCCAAAATTTTTTTTAGGATCACATAACACCACATGCTTGGATAGAAAAATTGACCGCAAAAGTACTGTGATCTTAGAAGTAGCCAATGTTATTTAAAAATTGAACTTTTCACACGTAGGGCCCAAACAGACCCTTGGGCCGAATTGTGGATTGCGTACTTTAATGTATTTTTCTTCCTGAACAACTTTTGTAATAGACATTTTTTCAAAAACTTCAATCTTTAAGAGATATCCAACTAACCATCCCGGGACTTTTGATACACCCTGTATATCGTTCCAGTTCTTACAGCTAACTCTAACTAAATCTCAAAATTCGATTTTACATGCAAATTTTCTATATGAATTTTTTTTTGTAAAATATAACAATTTTTTTCACTGATGTAAAAATAAATTTTATTAGTTGTAAAATATAACAACTTTTAATTTTTTAAATTTTAATTTGCGTTTCTTAAAATGTTATTTTTTACAAACAAATTTTTCTTTTTTCTATTAAAAAAAATATTAATATTATATAGAGAAAAATATAACATGAAAAACTTTTTGTAAAATATAACGATTTCAGAACAAAAATTCATACCGTAATGATACCGACTCTATTGTTTCACGACTGATGAAAACGAGACTCCAAGTGCAATTTCCGACAGTTTGAAAAAAATGCATCAAAAGCAGAAATTAGCAACACTTTCAAAAGAAGATATCGAAGATCTTTTAAAAGTACCTGCTGTAAATGAACCAGTGAGTGACGATGAATCCAATTCCTCGAATCAGTCGAAAGCATCGGACGGTGGTGAATTTTCAGAACAAGGCAACTTTTCTGATCAAAGTGCAGAAGTTGCTAGAGAAAAAATGCAGTTACCTAAAGCTCCACGACTTGCATTTTTAGATCCAAAATCTAAATTGGAATTTTATTCTATGCCATCAGCACAGAAAGATGCAACACAACCTGCAGAAGATAAAATTGAAAAGGTGTCGGAAACAAATTCAACGTCTAATAAGAAGAAAGGAAAGAACGGTTTATCTAAAAATTCGAAATCATCGCAAGGTAATCAACAGATTGTAAATAAAAGTTCGACTCAAAGTGGGAAAAAACTTAATGAACCGAAAAATTCAAAATCGGATGCAACAAAGAAGAAGCAATCTGGTAAGAAAATTTTTATATTATATATTATATATTTATATACCTTAAAATGCTATTTTTAATGCGTAAATAATAATTTTCTCTACAGTTAATTTATTATATTATATATTATATTATTATATTCAAAACGTCTCACTTTTTTCAGAATTTTTTTAATTTAAACTGTTTTTATTTTTTATTTTTCTTGTTACAGGTCAAAGGTCTAAAGGAAATGAAGAGTCTCCATTCCCATCTTCTGGAAATGGAGATCTTCCTTTGGCATTATTTGAATTATTAGTGGAAATCCTCACAAGACTAGAGGCTGACATAAAACAGATAAGAAGAGAGATCAATCATTTAAAATCACTGCTGGAGGCAAACAGTGCAGATCATGTACAAGCAGAGAGTCTCGCTGATCGCCATGGTTTAGAGTTGCCGTTGAAAACAGAGGAAGATTTTCAAAAACTTGAAAAGTGTTTCGAGAGCAATTCATTTTCTAAAGAATTCGTAAGTTTAAAATTATATCACTTTTATTTTAATTGTTTTAAAAACAAAATTTTTACAAAATTCATCTTTTTTAGAAACAATCGCTGACAATGCTAATGGACCATGACAATGTCTTAACCAAAACTATTGCGAACATTTTGCGGCGATACCTGTCAAGAGATGTGGCCGTGACATACGTTGCGAAAAAACCAACTAAAGACAAAAAATTGTTCAAAGACACCTGTTTCTGCAAAAAAATGCATGGTAATATAATTATTTACATAAAAATTACTAAAATATATTTAAATGGTAAATTATTTTATCATATTAAATTTTCAGATGCGATCGCTTCAAAAATGGAGAGAGAAAGGAAGGCATTCACTGATAAAGCCTTTTATCAAGCATTGGGGCAAGTTTTAACGAACTCAAAAGATTGGGAAGGACACAGGCAATTAAGAAAAAAAGTCCTGGCTGAACTTGACATTCCAGTCATCAACCCTGAAGATTTTTCAAACAACTCAAAAGAGCGTGAACCCTAATAAGGTTTTTATAAGTTAAAAGTTTCGTCTATCCAAAAATCTTAATTGTGAACCAAAGGATTTAAACCTTATTTTTAATTATTATCTTCAAAGTTAAATTTCAATTTAACAAATCGTTTTTTTTTTTATTGAAAACTAAGATGTGTTTATTCTTAATACAACGTAATTCTTAAAATTATTTATTAAGGAGAGACCGAGACGGCATTTTACCTAATTAAAGAAATTTAAATATTGAACAAAATTTTATTACTAATTTTTTGCAAGGAATTTAACTGCCATAAAAAATTAAGTAAATAATTATTTTGACCAATTTTTCGAAAATTTAAAATAAAAAAAATTTATTTTTTGATAAAAATGAAATGTTACTTTTGTAATATATTTTATGTTAAATAAAGAAAAAAGTAAAATTGAAAAATATTTTTTTATTATTTACGTATACTAATTATTCTGGCTAGGCAGAAACTGCATATTTTAGTGACGTGGAACTGGCTAGGAACACTATATTTTGCTAGGCAGGGCCTAGACAGTGGAACTGTCTAAAATCTAGACGTTGCTAGCGTTACATCCCAAGCTCAGGCCTGGCCAGTTTTCCCATCTAGTTGCTAGATTGAATCTAGCACAACTGGACAGTTTCTCATACACTTCCACGACAAATTTCTACACGGGCTGATTACAAATCTATGATTCAAATTATGAAAATCAAAACCACGTTGTCATAATAACAATCATAAAATCGTTTACTAGTTCGTTTTCCTTTTTTTTAATTTTTAAAATTTATTAATTTTAGTAACTATAATATACATATAATGTTATATAAATTAATTAGACAATTTGCGGAACTTTAAATATCTTTTATGCATGATATAAGACGAAGTAATTTTGGTTAGGTAATAGGTATAACAGTACTGAGCAAATGGTATAAGGCCTAAGCAGAATAGATTCTTGAACGGGAACGCAATCGTAAACGGAAACGTAAGAATGAGTAAGAGAAGGATAGCAAATATATTTATTCTTCTCTCACCCATTCTTACGTTTCCATTCACGATTGCGTTCCCGTTCAAGAATATATTCTGCTTTGGCTCATAGGCCCAAGAACTTTGTTTTTTATTTTGTTTTGTGCTGCAATGAGCACATCTTCTTTGTCAAGCGATTGGTTGGAGTATATGATTGGACTACCCTACTGAAAATTCTCATGTAGGATCTTATATTGGATCTCACATAAATTCATATATTAAAATCCACATAAAATCCTATGTGTCATGTAAGAAACAATATAGGATATTATGAAAAATCATATAGGAACTTGAGACATAATTTGAAGTGGGATTCATTGTAAAATCTTATAAACGTATTCTTAGGTAATAAATTATGTAAATTCCTATGTGAAATCCTACAATTTTTTCTGGTCCTATTTTTTCCTTCAATTTCTTATGTCAATTTCCTTCGTGTTTTCTCATTGAAAAACATACCAAAATTTATTGCTCAATCCTTAACCAGAAATTTTCCTATATCAAACCATACATCAAACATTTTTTTGATTCTTGAATGAATAATTATTACAAAAAATCTGACATGAAATCATATTAAAAATCCTCACGTGGGATCATATATATGACTGATTTGAACGTAAGAAATCATATTCATGTAGATTCCGAAATATCTATATTTAAGATTTTACATAGAATTATATAAAGGAAACAATATAAGATTTCATATAGGAATTTTCAGTTGGCAGACGGCAGTTTATAAAAATTAAAAATCAAATAATATTACTGCAATTCATCAAAAAAGAAAAAAAAGTGCTTTGCAATACACCTTCTGAGTTAGAGTCTCAGCTTTTTATAGTATTCAAGACTGATCTCAACTGTGAGAAAAAAAATTATCACCATCTGGCGGCGTAAGAGTGGAACTATGATACCAGCATTTATACTCGCATTTTATAGGTTTTGCTGGCATGTATTGCTTTATGCTACTACGATCTTTAAATTTAATCATAGATTCGTCTATGCTTTGGAACTTGCTTTGTTTCCAGTATTTCTTAAATTTTTCATTTAGTAGATTTAGAAAAGGTTGTATTTTATACAATTTATCATAAATTGGATCACCTCTCAGTGGGCACACTTGTTCCAAAGACGTCTTGAAGATGTCTTTTTAAGGATGTCTTTTAGACTTTGATTAAAGACGTCTTTTGGACGTCTTAAAGGCGTTTTTAATTTGGCCTCGTATGGTATAACTTAACAATGTAAATATAATGTCTAAATATATATAATGTCTCAAAAACCGCCGAGTAACGAGTTTCAAGTGTTTCCGATGAATTTTTAAAAAACTCATCTGCCCTATTAAATCCGCCATTTTGAATTTTTAATAACTGACTTAAGAATAGTAATAAGAATTTTAAAAACCCAAAATGTAGAAATATTCATTTGCTAAAAAGTTTGTTCAAAAATGAATTTTCTCCAAAAAATATCAAATTTTATACTTTGTTAATTTATAATTGTTTATAATTTTGCCTGAAACATTTATAATCATCATCATGTCTATTATTATAACCATTTTTGTTTCACTTCGCAATGATTTCTTTATAGTAGAAAAAATGTTGCATGGATAACACTGGGTTACAAAAAATGGTCAAGTCGCGTTTATTTAAATTTTTTGTGCTTATTGAAAGTTAAGGTGTCACTGAACAAGAATATACGAAAAAAAAATTTCATTCGGTCAGTTCCGTAAAAAACGAGATTAAAGTGTCAAAAAATATCTTTTTTAGCATATTTTGAAGAACTGTAAAATGGAATCGCAACATGATAAAAATCTTCACGAGGGCTTAAATGAAAGCTTAAACATTTAACTTTAAGATCCAAAACTGAAAACGAAATGATAATCGCGCGGAAACTTGTTTATCATGTATTCGCTATCTCAAATAGTCAAAATAGCTGGGATAGAGAGCACTTGGTACAAACCGATTTCCGTAACTGGATTTATTTGGAACTTGACACTTGGAAGTTCATAACGTATCTATTGACGTATCTGAAAAATTCTAGTGTTACCGTAAACTCCTGAGGACAAGAAGCAAAAAAATTCAATCTAATTTCGAATATTTAGAACACCATTTTGATTTTTTTTAAATCCAACTTTCGATACGTCAATAAAAACGTAATGAACTTCCAAGTGACAAAATCCAAATATATCCGGTTACAGAAATCGATTTTTACCAAGTGCTCTCTATCCTAGCTATTTTGACTGTTTGAAATAGCGATTACATGAAAAATAAGTTTCCGCGCAATTATCATTCAGTAATAAAAATTAAAGATAAAGATTTAAGCTTTCGTTCAAGCCCGCGTAGAGATTTTTATTATATAAAGTTTCCAATTTACAGTGCTTCAAAAAGTGCTAAAAAAGGGATTTTTTGACACTTTAATCTCGATTTTTACGGAACTGACAGAATGAAAATAATTTAAAACTATTGTTACTTTCAATGTTATAAAACCCAAATGATACATAAAAAAACTACCTACAATCATAAAATTTAATGAAGTAAATCAAAATTCATTTTACGTCAAGAAATGGAAAGAAATGTCAGGACTTATAAAAAAAAAAAAAAAAATTTGAGTTAATTTTTATTATTTTATGTTATTTAGATGTTATTCTAATAAGAATCTAAGTCAGAAAAAAATATATTTGATTTGTATTTTTGAATATTTTCTTCTATTTGCCATTGCTTCATCCACTATAAATTCAATTTTTTGTATTTTTTGATGTTAAAAAATTCGTAACTTTTTTATTGTAGCTTCTATTGAAAAGTGTTAAAGAAAAAAAATGTGTCTTTTTAGGAGTATTTTTAGGGAAAAATAGTAGAAAATTTAAAAAAAGAAAAATTGAAAAATTTGAATTTTTTCAAAATTCAAAATTTGAATAACTTTTTTGTTTTAATTTCTATCGAAAAGTGTTGAAGGAAAAAATGTTTATTTTTGGTAGTATTTTTATGGAAAATTAAGAAAAAATTTTTTTTTTTAAATTTGAGAAAAATTGAATTTTTTGAAAATTCAAAATTTGAATAATTTTTGAATTTTTGGGCGGATAAGTCTGTCCGACGAACTCAGGCTTCATTTTAACATGCTGAAAGAGTATACCAAATTTCAAAGCGATTCGTTAAGATTTGTTCAAGTTATCGTGGGGACAAAAAAGTGTCTACAGACAGACGACAGACGACAGACTACAGACGACAGACAGACGGACAGGTTTTCAAAACCTATTTTTTTGGCATCAGGAGGTCTCAAAACGTGGAGATTTACATGAATTAGAAGTTGGTCAAAATCAACCAAAACGAATACTTTCTCATTTATGATGAGAATGTAAAAAATATAATGTAGAAAATATCAATTTATATGTTTTGTACAATATAACTTTTTGATGAAAATTCTTGTGTAGTTTTGATACCGACTCGTACAAAATAACAAATTCAAACAAAAATTTTATGTAAAAAATAACAAATTTAAAAAAAAAATTTTGTAATATATAACAAATTAAAAAAAAAATTATGTAAAAAATAACACTGCAAAAAAACGAGTCGGTATTAAAACTACACAAGAATTTTCATAAAAAAGTTGTATTGTACAAAACATAAAAATTGTTATTTTTTACATTATATTTTTTTAATGTTGTTTTTATTTTTTGTAAATTTTAACTTTTTTGTAAATGAAAAAATTTTTTTGTTAATTTGTTATTTTGTACATTGAATTTTTTTTTGTTTTTTCTTAACGTTATTTTTTACATAATTTTTTTAGTTATTTTTTACATAATTTTTTTTGTTATTTTTTACATATAGAAAAAAAATTTTTCGTTATTTTTTTAGGGTGGTTTGAGGGGCCCACAAACTAAATGCATACATTAAAACTGTATATAAGCTGCATTTACAAGTACAAATGAATTTTAACATTAATTCGTATGCAGTTTAAAATTTGGATCAGTTGGGGTAAATGGGGACAAAATCCCTATTTTTCACAAATTAATTAATTTTATGCAGCAGAAATAAATTTAGATAAGCTTTAAACGCATTAAACTGACTGTCCTTATTTACCGTAAGATTTAAAAGATTTTTTTAAATTTGGGGTAAATGGGGACAGCATAGTTTTTAAGAAAGGTTTAAGAAAAAAGTTTCCTTAAGTATATTACTGTATTAAGGGATGGAAAAACTTGAAAA